TAGGGTTTCTTTAAGGGGTGTCGAAGGTAAAAGGAGATGAGCTATAACAGTAAGTTATGGATATACTCTCCTTAAAACAACAATATAAAGAATGAGAAATATTATATTACTCATTAAAATCAAAATAAAAGTCAGGCAGCAACTTAAATGAGGAACCATTTAAGTCGAGCATGCTTGCAAAAACTTTATTTGAATAGAAATAAAGCGTGTTGAAGAAACTGATTCGCTCACTTCTCAACATGATGAAAAACCTAAAAAATAAGGTTAATCATAATTGATTTCTTTTTTTTTTTTTTTTTTATTCGTCACTATTTTATGAATGCACTTTATTTTGTACTTAATGTATTTTAATTGAAGTGTTTCATTAAAAAATTATTAATTATTTTCTATTTGCTCATTAATAATCAATACTATAATATAACGTATTTTAAAAATATTTTTATTATTTCCTACTAAAACTATACACCAATAATATGAATTAGTCTAGCAACTAAAAACGTGTTAAATCAACTATCGAAATATAGTAATTTTTAATAATTCTAAATAATAAATTAAGTATTTGGTATTTGTCAGACAATAAATAATTGTTTCAATGTTGAGAATTAATTTCTATTTTATAGTTAGTAGTATTTTTTTATTAAAACAGTAACAACTTTATGTTTAAGATATAAATAATTAATTTATTAAATCGTAATACTCTTTAGCAATATTCCTCTGTCTTAATTAATTAATTCTTACTTATTACAACGATAACTATTTATAAATATATTTCAAATAAATCATTCAAATAAATCATAAATTAAAAAGCCATTTGTTTAATATATTTTTTTCTGTGTGTTTTATTGATAGAAGAAAATTAAATTAAAAACCAAAATGATTGACTAATTCTTTGGTTATCTTTCAAGTACTTCTCAATAACTTTTTTTGTTGAAAGTATTATAAAGAGAGTTTTTGTTTTTCAATGAGATAAAAAAAGAAAAGGGCAAATATAAAAAAAATTAGGAGAATTTAATGCCAGAAGATAATAAAAATACTTAAGAATTTATTTAATCAAGAATTATTAAGGATATGAAAATATAATATAGGAGATGAGTTCTTTCGATTTCTACGATATTCCAAAACTGAATTTAAATTAGAGTAGAAGAAGACAGAAGAATTCGAGAGGAAAGGGTATTTAAGAAAGAAATTTAAGAAGCAAAGAAATAAATTCAAATAGGGTATATGAAACTTAAAACTTCTGTTTGAAAATCAGGTTATGGGATGTCTTAAGAAACTTAAAGATATAAAAATTGGGAGCCCTGATATTCCATTATGGCAAAATATTTTTACTATGATTTGTTTCTTTTGTTTTGGTCTTAATTTCCTTATTTATTATAATGCTGTAGTAAATATGGGTGATTTGCTTAGTGATGAATTTGACTATTCCTTAGATTTTATGTCTACATATCCAATTTTTTTGAATTGGTATAATTTCTTTATTGCATTTGGATTAGTTCTTATGGCTACTTTTATGAAACGATTCCCTTTTAATTTTTTAGCCCACTTCTCTTTCATTCTTTATTTAATTTTATTTGTTTTATCACCAATTGTATTAAATTATATTAAGAGTGATGTAGCTCGTTTTTGGGTGATGATTATTATTGTAATTATTGGTGGTACTCCATGTCAAGTTAATAGTAGTGTATTTATGTCATTAGCAGGATTATTTTCACCAACACATAATGCAATTTTTTTGATTGGTTCATCTGCAGGAGGAATTATTTCTTCATGTTTACGTCTTGCATCAGGTGCTATTTATAAAAATGATCGTAAAAATGATTATTTCTTATCATTTTATTTAAACGTTATTCCAGTTGTTATTACCTATCCTCTTTATAACATTATGTATTGTTGTATCCCTCATACTAAACGTGTTATTCGTCAAAGTTATGCTAAGTCTAGTACAACTGAACAAGAAGAAATTGAAATGCATGAAAGCAAAAGTGGTCCTATACCAGATAATGTTGCAGCTGAAAATGTTAACTCTGTTTCAGATGAAAATGACAAAAATGAACTTCAAGACCGTAAAGCACCAGAAAATGCTAACCATTCACCTCATTCTGGAAGTGATATTTCAGAAGAAGAACAAAAAATAAATAATAATGCTGAAGATAATACTATTAAAGAAGTTAATTCAGAACTTTCAACTGAAGAAGAACATGACACAATAGGAAAACAACTTGTTAGAGTTCTTAAAACTATTTGGGTAGAGTTACTTTCAGTTACAATAGATTATTTCTGGACATTCTGTGTTTTTGCAGGTATATTTTTGGGTATTCCTTATGATGAGTCAAAACTTGAGTTAAATACATCATTACAAATTAATACATTTATGTTTATGATTGGTGATGCTGTAGCACGTGTTTTATATATGATCCCAATTCCTTGGAATAGATGGGTTATATTAGCTTGTTCTATAGCACGTTGTGTATTTTATGTTCCATTATTTATTTATTATTATAATGTGTATACCAACCCATTCTTAATGTTCTTTATTATGTTAATCTTTTCAACTACCCATGGGTACTTTGCCTCTCATGCTATTCAATTAGCTTTCACTCATTCGCAAATAAAGGATATGAAAATGACAGCTAATTTCTGTAATCTTGGGCTTGATTTGGGTCTTGCTCTTGGAGCAACTGGTCTTTTTATTCTTAATTATATCCTCCCTGATCAATAAAAGATTGTTTTTTTATATTAATTTGTGTTATCTTATTTATATTCTAAAAATATAATATAGTACCAACAAATTTATATTTAGAATTATTGTATTTTCAAGCTTTTGTTTTTCCTGAACTAAGACTCTTTTTTTCTATACTCATGAAAAATACAAATTTTAATTACCTTTCTATAAACAAAACCAAATTCTTGATAAAGAATTTAATATTATTTTTGTTCTATTTTTCAATTAGAACTTTTTGTAAATTATTTAAATGAATGATATATTATGAGTCATATATAATGAATCTTAATTCCTTTGGTAAAAATACTCAAATGTTATATTTTAATTTAGGATATTAGAAGGTAGTATTTGATCTTTGTATACTCAATATTAAACAAAAAATAATTTCTTTCTTAAGACAATGTACAATAATTTGTTGCTAAACGTTATTAAAAATTATTTAAATAATAATTAAATTAGAGTATGAAAAATGAAAGAATATGATAAAAAAAGTTTCTAAACATAATGATCACAGAAAACCAGTTTAATATAACATCAAATTTAAAGTTTATATAATTATACATATTTAATGGATTCTTTATGCAGTAGATATTAAGAGCAATATTGTTAAAGAATTATTACTGACTTTTTAAATAAGATTTAGTATTTTCTGGAAAATAGAAAAAAATTCATAAAATTTAAAATATAATATTTATATTAATATATATGACATACAACACTTTTGTTACATCGTTCTTTTAATAGCAAACAATAGAATTAATAAATCAATAACGTATGTTCTTTAATATTTATAAAGAAATTGATATAACCTATTATTTGTAAGAGATATAAATAAATCTTTTTTTATAAATAGACAAACATTATTTAATTTATTTTTCAAAAATCATTTTATAGAAGTATCTTAAAAATAAAAATTGATTATTTATAATTTTTTTAGAATTGAAGTATTTGTTCCTTTAATAATATTGAATCTTTTTCAAAAAAATGTCTTATTAAATACCTCTACATATCATTCTTCATTACCAAAATCCCCTTACATTTTTTTTTGTTTAAATACAGAAGTACTTAGTTAAATATATTTGAAAAAATTATTTTTATTATCTAAAAACAAATCAACAGCGATATGATATTCTGTTGTTAGATATTAATATACTAAACCCAACTCAGAATTTTTAAACAAAAATAAAAGTCTTCCTAAAAATTACAAATAACAGAAATAGTTTTTTGATACGTTTCATTGATGAAGAATCTAAAAAAGAAACAGAACTTTGAATTTGTTTGTATTAACTAAAAAAGATTGATTAATTATGAAGGGAGAAAATCTATAAAAAAATAAAGGAGTTTTGGTGAAGTGAAAAGATAGACAATCTTGGATCTCAATTTGATATAAATCTTTATGTCATTGCCAGGAGACCTTAATGTCTTAACTCATAATCCAGATTTACCTATTTCTACAAAAGCAGACTTTGAAGAGTTTAAAGGATTCTTTGACCAAACTGAAGGATGGATTGAGTCATATAAAGATGAACATACCCAAGTTCATTTCAAAAACCCAGAAAATACAGCAGAAATTCAAGTCAAATTAGTTTCTGATGCTATGAAAGATATTCCTGCTCAAGTTATTTATGAATGTATTCATGATCCAGATTACAGAAAAACATGGGATGATCGTATGATTGAAGGATTTTTAATTGAACAAATTGATGAGTGTAATGACATTGGATATTATTCTGTTGCTATGCCATTTATTATTTCTAATAGAGACTGGGTTAATAGAAGAAGTTGGTGGCATAACCCAGAAATGACAGAATTCATCATTTTCAATTTTTCTCATAAACATCCATTAGTCCCAGAAAAATCAGGATTTGTTAGAGCTTGGTCTTATAAGTCAGGCTATTATATGAAAACTACTGAAAAAGGAACTATGTTCTATTACTTTGGATGGAACTCATGGAATGGATGGATTCCAGCATGGTGTGTTAATAAAGCAACTAAAACTATGGTTGGAGGTGTTATTGATAGTTTAATGAAACAATCTGCTGCATACGAAGAATGGAAGAGTAAGAATAAGCCAGAAGATAGACCATGGTTAAGATTGAATGACTGGCAAAGAAAAGAGAAAGAAGAGTATGATGCTAAGCATGCTGGAGATAAGAAAGAAGAAAAAAAGGAATAAAAAAAGAACTAAGTTACATCTTATCATTAATTTTATTATTTTCTTTAAAAAAAGAAAAAAAAACAAAAGAATTAAAAAAGAAATAAACATTAAGTGTTTTAGATGAGTACATCTTTAATAAAAGATGAAATAAAGGAAGAAATAAAGGAAGAAATAAAAGATGAAATAAAGGAAGAAACAGTTGATGACATTAACAATTCAGAATGTTCAGAGACATATGACCCAGATGAAGAAGACCATCAAAACATTATATTCAAAAAATTTTTATTAGGAGATAAAAAATTTCCACAAAATTTAGTTGGTCGATTTGCAGAGTTATGGGGAATGATGGAACAAGAATTAAAACCAAATGGAGTATTTGCTTTGCACTGGGACGAATTTACAGGAGACGATGATTTTAAAGACCTTCCTCCAGTTAAGCCATGGCAAGACACTACAGTTACAGATGCTTTAGTGTCATGTTTCAATTATGGTTTGAATGAAAAGTTTTGGATGAACTATAGAAAGAAACATGACTTACTTAAGAAATACCTTGATGAAATAACTGGGACTGAAAAGGAAAAGACATATGAGCGAGGAAGAGTTGAGCATCAGCGAGACTCATCGAGGTATTCAAGAAGTCATTCAAGAAGGAGAAGAAGTAAATCTAAAGGTCATTATTCACGGAGTAGATCTAGAGATCGTTATCTACGAAATAGATCAAAAAGTCATTATTCAAGAAGTAGGTCAAGAAGTTCCGATAAGTATTATAGTCGTACTAGAAGAAGTAGAAGTAGAAGAAGGAGTGGTTCTAGAAGACGTAGACATCATTAATTACAAATAATTGACTGTGTTAATTTGTTTAGTATTATTTCCTTTTTTCGTACTTCATCACTAATGTTAGAAGAATAGTTTTATGGTTCATATTTTATTAACTCAAAAACTGAATAACAACTCTATAAAAATGAAAGACTAAGTTACTTCATTAATTATGAGTAGTAAAGAGTTATTAAGAAAAATAAATAATAAAATTTTTATACTAATAATTAATTTTTATTAATTTTTAATAAATAAAAATTTTTACAGCTTAATAAAGCATTAATTAATTATTTAAATTCATATATATAAGTTTAAGAGAATAAATTAGATGGTATGACAAGAAAGAGTTATTTTAACTCTATAAGAAATAAGATAGTTTTATTTCAAATTTTGATAGTTTTATAGAGAAAAGATGTTCATACATTAGACATAATAAAGATAAAATGTATTTGAATATTCATTCTAGCAGTAAAAGAATGAATAAAGAAATGATTTGAGTAATTTTATTGTTTTTAAAAAAAAACCAGACTAAAAAAAAGGAATAGAGAAAATATAATTAACTCTTCCCTCTTAAGAACTAATACAACTTTAAATTAAATACCCAGTCAACAAAAAAGAGAAGATAAAAGTTAGGAATAGAACCAACTTATTCTAATAAACACAAATGCAATGAAATCAATTAGTTATCAGATTCAGAACTAGACATTGTATTTTCAATAAAACCATCTTTAACATCATGGTAATTATAAACCCAACGAATAAAATAAGCAGCAATAGAGGTAATAAGATATAATAATATTGATATACAACAAAATATTGGAATTAAATCTTTGTGTTTAAAAAAGTCATTCATAGTAATAGTATGTTGAGATGAATAATAAGACTCAAAGAATGCATAATTTAATCCATACAATAATTGTTGAGAAAAAATAATTCCACAATTAAATATACCAACAAACAATCCAAAATGACTTGAAGGAACAATATTCTTTAATAAAGCAAAAGGAATACTTAATAATTGAGCAGAAGAAAAAGCAACTGGAATAATAAATATACAACTTAATGACATCATCAACAATAAGTTAGATGAATTTAATAATTCTATTCTTATAGAAGAATAAAAACAAATAGATGATAGTGTTAAAGGTAAAAATGAAATTAAAGAAGTAATGGCATTAGAAATAGACATCATGTACCATGGATATTGTTTTTTAGTTAACATATAGATACAATATCCAAACTGAGCAAGTGCAAATATAATTGATTGAATTCTTGACATTATATCAGGAGTTATAATGTTTAATGATTTTTCATGAAATACTGCATTATAAAAATGGAATAACTCAGTATTACATGAATCGAATGCTACAAATGACATCCATCCAAAGAGAAGAACTAACCAATTACAAACAGTATATCGGTTAATAGCAAGAATTGATTTTAAACAACTCTTAATAAATATAAATAAAGGAACACGATCAGCTGGAATAAAACTCTCTGTTGCAGTAAAGAATGTAATTGTACTTGTTAATGGTACAATAAAAATTGCTAATGAATATAATACTAGTACAGTAATTGGACGTGCTTTATCACTTATTCCTGATGTATAATCTATTGATTCAATAATAAGAAAAGTAATATGAATAATAAGCCTTGCAAAAAGTGATAAAGCGATAAACATTAATGCACATGGATGTTGATGTTCAATAGGAATAATGTCTAGTACTAATGTCCTTGATACAACTTGAAGTATATTTGTTCCAATATACAATAAACATAAACCAATCATCTACAATTAATGTTATTCTATAATCTTCTCATGTAAAGAAATTATTATACATATAAACAAACAAGAAAAATAAATTGGAATGTGGAAAAGTCATTCTCCTTAGAAGGAGAAACTACTTCAACGATTCCTGAAATCACTTGAATACCAATACTAATTATAACAATTAAATTACCAAGTAATAAAAAAGGTCGGCGTTTACCCCAACGAGAGTTAAACCAATCGCTGCATGAACCAATAACAAGTTGAACAATAATCCCAATTACTGGTCCAATAAAAACACTTATAATTGTTGAAAGATAAAATGGTAATTTGAAAATAGTTGAGGCATATGGAATAGCATCTATTAATGAACAATTTATATGTAATTCATATAAAAAATAAAAATAACAAACATAAATACTCTATTCCAAACTCAGATGCATTTAGAAGAACAAGAAGGAAAATTAGACGAGTATATTCTCCCATTTTAATAATTAGGATCTTCTATTCTAATTATTTTTTTAAGATGAATTAATATAGTATATTAAATAAATTTAAATTAATTTTTATTATTTTTATCTATTAAATTAAAATATAATTAAATAATATTATTTTCTTCTTATACATAATTAACCATAATTTTATAAGTAATTTATTTTATTTACTTATCAAATAAACTGAAATTATTATATTGGATCGCCACTTGCCATGGATAAAACTCATTAGTTGAAGCCGCCAGAAAGTGTGCAAGAGTATTGGGACGTAATTTAAAAAACGAAATGGATAGCGTTGGGAAAGTGGTATCTTAGGAGATATCAGAGCCGAAACGTCCTTACATTTTTAATATTTTTTTTGTTTTATAAAGCTCAAAAACCTCTCTTAAATTTAGTTATTGAAAAGTTCAATTAATAACAACTACCATTGTATATAATCTTTTTGGTAATTATCAAATTACTCAGTGCTATGAGTAAATAAAATAATTTTTTTATAAACTTATCTAAAGAGATAAAAATTTTTTATTAAAATTTAAAATTAAAAAAACATGTTAGTTTATCTTATATATTTGGATTTTTAATGTTTTTGTAAAGAACTGAAAAATAATAAATTTCAAAAATATATTTAAAAAATTTTACATTCCAAAATTTAAAGAAAAAGAAAACTAAAAAGTATAGAAAATGAATTTCCAAACCACTTTGCAAGGAAATCTTGAATTTGTTTTTAAACATGCAAGTCATGATGTCAAATTTGCTGGAGATCTTGCTGAATTATTAGACAAATTAAGGTCTACAAGAAAAGAATATTGCAAGAATATGGTTAAAATTGCTCAAGAGTTCCAAAAACACATTGAAAATGAATGTTTATATGGAACTACAAAAGAAGCTGTCACACAATTATTAACTTCAGTATTTGAAGAAGCTGATGGACAAATGAAAACAGTTGAAGTTTTGACAACATCAATTGATAACTTTAAATCTAAAATGAAAGATGTAGAAAAATCTGCTAAAGCAGTTAGACAAGACGCTGAAAATAAAATAAAAGATGTAGAGAAATGTAAAGATGCTACAAAAAAAGAAAGAGATAAATTTGTTAAATGTCATAAAGATCTTGTCAATGCAGAATCTGATATTGAGAAAGGAAAAGCTAATAATCTCATTGATAAAAAGATTAAATCACTTGAAGAAAAAAGAGATCATTGCAAAGAAAAAAAAGAAGACCAAAACAAAATTTACACTAACTCAGTTGAAACTACTAATAAACGAATTAAACATTTCTTTGATGTTGACCAAAATGAAATATTGGACTGTTATAATAAATTTGAAATATCTTATTTAGAAGCTATGAAAGAAATATTAAAGAACTTCTCTAATTCATTAGCCACTATTCCTGAAGTTGTTAAACAATCAATGGATAAATATAATGAAAAGGCATCTTCAATTGACCCTCAAAAAGATATTGTTACATTCTGTGATTCTAATAATACTTATTGTCATACTCCTACTTATCTTCCATTATATGATGCTGATGGTTTAATCATTAAACAAGAGGGTGCTCTTAATGCTCGTAGAAGTGATGACCCAAAAGGTATGGAACGAGTATTTTTAACCTGTATGGTAATTAAAGATTTTGAAGCAGAAGGTCCTGAAGAGATGTCTGTTAAACGAGGAGATACCATTATTGTTTCAGAAAAGCATTTATCAGGATGGTGGTATGCATCAAATAAAGAAACTGCTAAAGCTGGTTTTGTTCCAATGACTTTCTTAAAAGATACGAACTAAAATTTAATTCATTACTTCAAAAGAAGTCAATTAAAACTTAGTTTTTGATATGTAAGCTTTAAGATATGCTGTTGTAATTGGTTTCTTCTTAGCGTCATAAGCAACAATAAAATCTTTCATTGAAGCACTAACAATTTTTTTAAGTTCTCCAGATAATAATTCTCCTTTTGAATATTTTTCTTCTACATCTTTTACTTGTGCATTATCAGAAGAGAAGATATTAAGTAATTGGAAAGAAACATCAATATCACATTGACCACCAAGTTTTTTATGTTCTTCAGTAGTATTTCTTCCACCAGAAAAAGCAAGTTTATTAATTTTACGTTCTACTTGTTTAGCATTATCAGAAAGAAGAATTGAATTGTGATCAGATGGTATATCAAATTTAGTTACTCCAGATAATAAAGGAACCATTTTATGGAAGAGAACAGTTGGTTGAATGAAATTAAGAGTAGTAGCAATTTGATCAATAATTGAATGGAACTGAACATTTTTTATTGAGTCAAGAACTAAACAACGAGCAGGAGAAGAAAAAAAGTGAGAATAAGATTGAGAAAACATTGAAGCTGTCATAATTGATGGTGATGCTAATTTACCAATATTATCTGAATATTCAAAGTTAAAAAATGGTTGAACTACATTATAAGCAGTTGCTTTTTCTACTAATGAAATTGTTCTATACATTTTTCCGAAATATTGATAGTCAGTATAAATAAATGTTTTATCTTCATTAAATCCAAATGCAAGAATATACTTCATTAAATCATTTGACATTTTACTTGCTTCATTTATTGTTGCCTCTCTATTTAATACTTTTATATCATCTAATATTTGAATAATTACTTGAATATTAAAAGCATCTTGAAGATAACGAGCAAATTCCAATGTAATATACTCTTCTAAAGCAACTTCTTTTTGTGGATATTTTTGTATAAAAATAAAAGTTGGTTTCTTTGCTTCAACATCATCTAAAAATTTATCTAATGACTTTTCTGCTAAGAAAACTCCTCTAGAAAGATAATGATGTGGTGCTTTACCACTTAATTTTTCTATTCGTTGAATTTGTTGAGGTGTAATAGCATTAATTCCAACAGAATTAATTAATTGATTATAGTCAGTTGTTCGGGTAGTAAATGATTGTAATAATTGTGATGGTGTTTGTGTTTGTAATGACATTGTAAATAACAATTTAGGGTTTTTTTCTTTATTTTTTCATCTTTTCATTTTAATTTTTTATTTGACAAAATGAATAAAAAAACATAAGAAAATTGATAAAAACCAATCTTGGGGTTTATTAATATATTTTTGTAAATAAAAAGGTGTTGAAAGTAATTATTACTCAAAAGTGATATAAAGCTCTTCAATTAAAGGTATTAACCAAGATTTAAAAACATCAAACTGATTAATTGATTAAATGTAACTAATAATTAGAAAAAAAAAACTAAAAAAGAATTATTAAATGATTGTAGAAACTTTTGTTGATGGTCATTATGAACAATTTCAATTGACTGAAAAAGTTGAGACAATAGATGAAATAGCACAGTTAATTTCTTATAATAAAAGAGTTCCAAAAGAGACGATATGTTTTGTGTATAATGGAGATGTTATTGATCCATTACTTTCTTTAAATGATTTATCACTTAAAGAAACAAGTAAACTTAGATATTTTATTAGTCATCCAACTTTAGAAATTAATGATATTCATCCTCAAGAAGGATATACATCAGGTGGTACCCATGTCACATTACAAGGGAATTTCCCTGAATCAAATGGAAGGTATATTGTTAAGTTTGGGACTTTAGAAGTTGTTGGACAATATATTGATGCTAATACAATAATTGCAATTACACCACCACATTCACCTGGACCTGTTAGTGTTTTTATTAAATTAAATCAAAATGGTCGTTTTATAGAAGGAAAGACTTTATTTAGTTATGTTAATCATGTAATTGGTTCAAAAGAAATTGAAGTTCAATGCCTAGATAAAATGAGTCACCAAATGACGTCACAACGATTTGCCTCTGGTTCAAATGGTGTTTAATTCAATACTTTTAATTGTATTATTTGATTTTGTTTAAGAACATTAGAAAAAAAAAATTTAAAAGGGAACTTTAAATATTAGTTCTTTTATTATGGAAGAAGACCAAAAAGAGAAATGGCTTCGTCATTATGAAGAAGACCCAACTGACCCAAAATTTCATTTACATAAAAAACAATGTATGATATTTACACCAGCTGGTAAACCAGTATTTTCAAGATATGGAAATGTACTTCTTTTATCATCATATTGTGCAACATTAACAGGGATTATATCTTATACCAATAATGATCCAATTAAAGAAGTTAAAATTATTAATGAAGCACTAATAATATTTGAAACAGATTCACCATTATGGTATTGTATCATTTCTCAAACAAACGAAAGTTGTAAAGTTTTACGTGCACAATGTTCTATTGTATCACATGTACTTCATTCATTTATTCCAATGCCAACAATAAAACAAACATTAGACTCTTCGAGTAATTATGATGTAAGAAGAGTAATTAGTGGACATTATTCATTACTTAAAAATGCATTAAAAACAGCTAATAATTGTATTGGATGTAGCGTTAATTGTACAACAATTTATCCTCTTCTGGTTGAACAAAGAAGGTTTATTGAAGAACATATTGAGTCTTCAGTAAAAGTTATTGAAAAACAAATGGATAAAGATGGTATTATTTTTGTTTTAATTTTTAAAAATGAACAAATTGTCTTTGCTCGTGGAAGAAATAATGCAAAATTATCTTCACGTGACATAATAACATTAATTACTCATATTAATACAATGAGAAGAGTAGGAAAGAAAGTTCTTCAACCAATATGTTTATCTGATTTTAATGAAGATGGATTTGTTCAAAGTTATTTTGATTTTATAAAAAAAGGAGTTACTATTGTTGCAATTTCAACATTACCTGAGTCTATTGTTTCATTAAATATGTTATGTAATGATATTGAATCATATTTAGAAGATATTCCTCTTGAAGATGTTATTTTAAAAAATCCAATGATAGTAGAAAATAAATTATTGGCTTTAGTAGTAACTAAAAATCATCAAATGTATATTGAAGGAAATTTAACAAAACAAATGAAAAGAGATATTGCAAATGCATTTTCAAGAAATTATACTAATGAATTTATTAAATCAGATTATTATTACTTATTACATAATAGAACTGGTGATATAGAATTTGTTGCTTTATCTAATGTATTTTTATCTAAAGACATTCAAATAAATCTAACAAATGAGCTTCTTAATTGGTCTGATTCTGTAGCACCTTCTTTATGGTTAGAATCTCCACCTTTATGGTAGTTATTCTACAAAAGATTATTTATCATTCATTTATTAATTTTAATACTTTTTTATTCTTTGAATGGTAGTGTTTTACATGAAATTAACTGAATTATTGATAAACTGTATTGTACTTTCCCAATTGTTGGACAATAGTTTCTATACTTGATCTATGCCTACTATCATCTAACCATCCATTGGAAATAATATCATAAATTTCTTGCCTCATATTATCTGGTTTAGAAGGACGTTTTTTATCAGAAACAAATTGTGCAATTTGCCATGGATATTTAAATTGTTCTTTTGGATAGGCAGGTCCCCATTTCATTGTTTCAAACATTGTTACAGATAATGAAAATACATCTGCAGCTGTTTTATATCTACTTTGATCAAGTACTTCAGGAGCCATATAAACTGGTGTGCCAATACCTTTAGTAAAAGTCATATTAGTCATCATTGAATTGATATTTCTTGATGACCCAAAATCTGTTATTTTAGCAAATACAGGAACATTTTTATCTAATGAGAATATAAGAAGATTATCTGGTTTAATATCTCTATGTAATATCCCATTTTGATGAAGGTATTCAATTCCTCTTGCAGCATCCATACAAATTTTGATTCTAACAGCTTCTTTAGGTAATTTTTTCATTCCTTGTTTAAATATAAGATGAAATAAAGAACCATACTTAGCATATTCTGTTACCATACATATTTTATTAGGAATAAATACTGCTCCATAGAAATGAACTATGTACTCACTTCTAAATTTATCTAACATTGACACTTCTTTTTTAAATTCATCTAATTGCTCATCTAACATAGAATCTGACTTTAGTGTTTTAATAGCAACACTCTCCCCTCTGAAAAATCCTTTATAGACAATACCAAAAGAACCTTCACCAACTTTCTTTTTTATTTCTAGTTCATCAAAATCAAGTATATTAGTAATATTAGTCATTCCTTCAATATCAACTTTCAAAGATTCTTCTCTATTATCATTAAAATGAAGAATATTAATAACAACAGACTCAGTGATATGGGTAGAACAAAGTGGTTTAATTGTATAATGAAAAGTAACACATTTACCTTTACTTAAAATAACTAACTTTGGTTCTACAGTTAATTCTATTTTTTCATTTAAAACTACAGTTGGTTGTAATTTAATTCTTTCTTTTCCTACATTACCAATAATTTGGTTAAATTCTCTTGTTTCTCCAACAATTAATTGGTTGTCATCAAAAAATTCAAACCTAGGATGGTCTGTTATTAAAAAGTCACAAGCATAAACTAACTCAATGTCTCTTTCTTTTAAATCTTTAATTTTCATAATATCATTTTGTTTAATTTTCATACTTTTCTTAAAATAATAATACGCTATAATAACTACAAAAATTAAGATAATAAAAAGAATACATATTCCAATAATCATATATATATACCAATATGATTTCTTTTTACAATCTCCATTTTGGACTATATAATTGCTTTCACATTTAGTACATTCAATTCCATTAGCTGCTTTACAATGTTCTATTGTTTTATAATATTTACATACACCTGCACTATTAATATAATCATTATCACATATAATACATTCTTCTCCTCGACATTGATGACAATTATCTCTGCATTTCATACAATGAGAATCAAACACATAATACCCATCAACACATGTACGACAACCATATTCATATGTTGTATTGCAATGCTCAAGATCTTCATAAGCTTCACATTGCATTTTGTATAAGAAATAGTCTTTTTTACAACTAATTGCTTGGTTTGGTCCAAGACATGTTTTCATTGAATTTGGACAACTGAAACATAAAGAAACTTTTTTGTAATACCCATCGTTACAAACAGCACACCCTAATTTACTTAATGTTTTTTGTTTACATGAAACTGCAAGTTCATTTCCTAAGTAACAAGTATTTTCACTTAGTACATATCCACCACTTGGACATGACATACAATACGTTGAATTGATTACACATGAACCACAATTCTCATTACATTTTTTACATATTCCATTTGATGCATAATATCCGTCTTTACATCGTAAACATGAACCATAATGAATAATCTCACATTCTTCTGATGTTATATCAAATTCATTTTCTGTTATAGATTGAGTTTTAATAGTTTCTTTATCTTCACATATCCCTCCTTTTAATAAAGCTGATTCATTAATACACTCAAGACATGTTCCTGTTTCATCGCATACTTTACAACCTTGCCCACATTCTTGACAATTTTCTTTTTTGTAATACTGTTCTTTACATAAGAAACATTTTGAATTTGTTATATTGTTACAATTGTCCGAACTTACTGTACAAACACCATTTAATAATAACTTATTTTTACAACTTAGACATTGATTTAAGTCACATGCATTACAATCTTCATCATGATGATATGAAGAACAACTTTGACATGATCCATCAACAAGAACATAACCTGATTTACATTCTACACCAGTATTACCTATAATTGAATTAAAATATTGTGAATTACTAACATCAGAAGAATTTAAACATTCATTATTAAATAAAACAAATCCATCTTCACATATAGTACATTTACTTTTATCATTATCACTTTTATAACATTGGACACAATTCTCTCCACAATTCCCTTTACAATTAATATTATCGATAGAATATTTACCTTCCTCACATTTAACACACTTATTATTATAATAAAGTAAACAATCAGAAGCAGTTTCTTCTTTACACTGACCATCTGACAATTTATATCCATCTTTACATTGTAAACATTGATTATTATTAATACATTTATTACAATTAGATGAACAAGGTAAACACTTATCACTAAGAAAATAACCATTAACACATTCAATACAATGACCTAAAGTGTGATATGACTGGCAGTTTTCAACTTCAACATGTGAAACACATGTTCCATTAATTATTCCTTCTCCACAACTTAGACAACTGTAACTATTACTAGAAAATGCACCAATCATACACCCTTCTGTTTTGTCTGCTACAATTTTACCGTTAAGATCATTTAATCTTCCTGTCTGCATTGACACAATTCCATCATTCATTTTAATATCAATAGATTTTTTAGCATCTAACTTAATAAAAGCTATTTTGCTAGTAAACGTAATAGAACTACTACCTTTATTAGAAATGACAAGGACTTGTATTTCATTTCCACTAACCACTACCTTCCCACCATCAACAATGAAAGTGTTACATAATTTTGATATATAGCTAAAAGTTAAATCTCCTTTTAGTGTAAGTGTTATGCTATTAGTTGCATTAATACTGAGAATAGATGCATGTCCATAAGAACCAATAGTTAAGTCTGAGTCAGCATTAATAGTACCTGTTAATGACCTATCATTATGAAGCATAATATGTTTATATCTCAATTTATCCATATAATAGAAACAATGCTCTCCATCACATGGACATTGGTCATATTTAAATGATTCTAAACTGGACTCAGTTGGATAACATTTAATTTCATCATCTAAATTATCTTTAGGACATACTCTAACTATTCTGTCAAGAACTAGAAGTGTATATTCATTATCAGTAACATTAATACCATTCATTCCATAATTTAAGTCAAGAAAAGAGCTTGCTAATTCAAAGCATTTAGTGTTTGTAGTAGTAAGAGTTAATACTAAAGAACTGTCTGAAGAAAACTTTCCTTCAGACATATGAATTAGAGCATCTTCATTAAGATTATTTACTTCACCATCAATATCAATAGAATATGTTCTTAGTTCACTTCCATTATATCCAACAATTCGTGTTTTTGAACTCATAATAAGTCTACCACACCTTAATATGCTATGAAGTTGAACTGTATTAAGACTTGTAAAATTACAATCTCCTTCAATAATTATTTCTTTGCCAGTTATAGAAATACTGTTATTTGGTGGAATATTCAATGGATTTATATTTAAACTTTTCCAATAAACAGAATCATTTCCACTTTCATAATCTCCTGTAAGTACTAATTCTAGTCTATTTAAACGTTGTTTTGATGAAATAGAACAATCAGATTGAATATAAGTATTTTTTCCTTTTTGTACACATTTACACCCAAGATTACTACTATATGGAATAAATCTTGACTTTGTACCTCCACAATTTTCTTCTTTTATTCTACTTTCCTTAAATAATTTGTCACATTCATTTGGATCCATAGCACATTTACCAATAAAAAATATAGGAGATTCATCTATATTTGTTTCAATATTTATATTTGAAATAAAGAAGTTACCAAGGTCATATAAAGCATCAGTTCTTTGTATAGTTATTCCTCCAACAAAATAAATTGTTCCAGAAATAAATAAAGGTGCAGATGGTAACACAACATTTCCTTGAAATGTCATATTCTTTCCTTTAGGAATAGTAAGTTGAGTTTCAACACCTTCAGTACTTAAACTATTCCATAAATATTCATGTGGAATAAATTCTTGTAATGGACGAGCTTTAAATATATAATATTTACTAAGATAAGTACAATCCATTGCATGATTGACATACTCAAAATTTTCATATTGACAACTACAATCTATATAATTGTCTGGAACATCTTTTTTACAAATTGCCATTCTTTGATGAATACCAGCACTACAAATATTAATTACTTTTAAATTAGAATTATCTGTTCCCATATTAAATACAGAACTACTTTTAGTATATCTGTATTGACATTCATCAATATCATCACTTTGGTTTATTAATTTAACTTGAATATTTTCACTTATATTTACAAATGGTGAAAATCCTGCTGTAAAATTCAAATAAACAGTTTCTCTTACATTAGTAGCTGGACTAGTAATATTGAATCTATAAGTAACAGCTTCAATATAGTATGGATGTAATTCTGTATCTTCGTTTCTACCTTTAAGAGTAATAGTAGAACGAGGAATGATATTATCTGTATTAATATACCAATCAATACCTGTTAATTTTTCATCAATTGTAATTAATGTATGTTCTCTTTTAAATTCTCTACCAACAAAAACAAATCTTAATTCTTTTGGTTTTATAATATAATCATCTATAATAGTAAATGTATTTCTCCAAGTTTGTCTTTCATCTTCATGAGGTGAACAACAGTCTGGATATACTTCAAATATCTCTTTTTTATCATTTGAAGCAATTATAAATCCATGATATGTATAATTCTCTTCTTTATAAATACATTTCCATTCAGGATCTTCAATATATTGTAATTTACCATTATCATCTGTATCACACCATGCTCTATGTTGTGCATATACTATACAAATCAATGAAATTATAATAATATTCATGTTTTGTAAACTGATTATTAATTTTTTTTTTGTTAGATTTTTCCTTTTTTCATTCCAAAATTTAGATTTATTATTTTATTTTTAAATCTCCTCCATTGGAAATATTCTTTCTACTCTATTTTTGTCCTTCTATTCGTTATTTATTTTTGTTTTAGAACTTTTATCTTCTTCTCTTTTTTTTTTTATGAATTATTTTTTAGATCGAAGGTGGCACGTCTGAAACACCACACACAAACCCTAGTACAAATTCATTCTTCGACTCTCCCAGTTATTATCTGGTTATGACGGTGCCTTTGAATTAGGAATGTATTAGGGAAGCTGCAAAGGGTGCAGCAAGAGAATACAGTAGAATATTACATGGATGTAATATAAGAATCTACTGAAGTGTGGGTATGACTAAAAGAAGATTAGTCAAAGTAAGACTAAAAAGAAGATTAGTCAAAGGAAGACTAAAAAGAAGATTAGTCAAAGTAATACAGTAGTAATAAAGTGATTCCTTCTCTCTTTCATAAAATAAGAAAAATGAAATTCCTTAAAATTAAGGTAGAAAACAAACAAAGGCTTAAAAAGAAGAAATAAGCAGAAGAAGTTTGAAAAACCTTAATAGGAAGAAATAAAGCAAAGAAGTGCTTTCCTCATTTTGCAAGAAAAACATAAAGAATAGGTTTAACAAAGAGATTACTCTTTTTTAATAAGCTCAGGGATGGGATTAGTCTCCCCTGAGCTAGGAAGAATATATGAAAATTCTATTAATACTTAATTAACTACTTTTTATTTTATGAATTATTTTTTTATCCTTGACTCGTTTAAATTAAAATTTTGTGATTTTTATTTTTAGAAATTTAAATTACCAAATAAAAAAGTTAAAAGAGTTATAAATAACATAAAAAAGTAAAAAATTTAACATTAAAATGTTGATAATACATCAAACTTAACAAATCCTCGCATATATTTGTTCTGCGATATTGTGGACATCAGTATCATGTTCATTCTTTAATAATGTTGAAAGTGCAAATTTTACATCTTGTGAAGATGAATGAAGTTTTCCTAATGCAATTAAAGTACTAATTCTAACATTAGAAATCGGATCATCTAACATTAGAATTAAGTTTGGAGTAGCTTTTGTTGTATATTCTTCATTTCCTTTACTTACAGCAACAAATGCATAAGCCAATCTATATGTTATTTATTTCATTAAATTGTTAATTTAAAAATAAAAGAAAAAAAGAGACAAACGCTTGTCGTTGATAGCAATTACCTTTTTGATAGGTCAAGAATTGATTAAATAATATACTTCTCTTACTTTCATTTTCTTTTAAACAATTCTCAATTTCTTTTAAAGCAACTTCTCGAACACCAAAAAATCCACTCATTGTTAGTTTAACAAGTACATCATCATAAAATGACATTGTTCTTAACACTGGAAGATGTTGAGCAATACTAACTTTCACTCGGAAATTACTTTCTTCAACAAGACTTCTAAATAAATCACTAAATCTTCCTGTATCTAATGATAATACATCACAAATATATCTTCTCATTTCACTTTTAATACCTGCACTTTGGTCATTAGCTAATTCTCAAAA